CCCCCCGCGCCCCCCCCCCCCCCCCCCCCACACCCCTGACTTTCTGTGATCCAACTTTTTATTTATGGGTAGAATGTGGAAAGGTTGGAGCCTCTGTCAGGTCTTTATTGCTGTTCTTCTCTTTGGGGAGATTTCTCCTCACTTCCTGTCCCACTGACACTCAGTGCATTGCTGCAAGCTAGACTTCCTGTTTCCCTATTTTTGGAGTGCATTGTCCATACATTCCCATGGAGAATCCTCAGGGGGATAGTGACAATGTCATTGGCTGTGTTGTGGCTCCTCCTTAGGAATACACGGAACTGGATTGCCCCCGGTGAGGATACCGAGAGCAATAAAAGGAAATGTGAACTCATTCATTGAAATGCCTTGACTTTTCCTGTTATAGAGTGACAACCCTATAGAGTTCCTGTGTCCCTGTTCTCCTGTGTAGCCACCCTGTCACCCCCTCTCCCAATGTAGACTACATATGGCGGTGCTTCCATTCATTGCACAGACATGGTCTGCTGTTGTCACCGGTTTTGGAGGCTTTTGCAATAACGGTGGGCTGCCATTCCACCATCACCCAAATTATTCGGGGTACGCTGCTCCCGAGCCTTGTTTACGGGTCCCCCTCATGGAAGATCGGGTGCTGGGCGCCAGCAGGGAGCCTTCTATGCCCCACAGAGGTCACAAATCCAAAGCAAAAGACCAGCTGCACTCTATGCACTCCGACTGTCCCCTACAGTTAGGTCCAGGGTGGAACGCGTCGGCGCAGGAGTTCCTGGACGGTTACGCTCTATTCATGGTATCTGAATGAATCAAGTTACCAGTGTTGGAATTTTTTGCCACGTGTAGCCGCCGGTCCTTACCTTTTGGATCTGAGCGTCTGGTTCTGGTTATCTTTAGACAGGTGTACGGAAAGCTAATCTTCTGTTTTGTGTTTGTAGGTTCATGACAATCAGATTTCGGAACTTCCCAGCGCGATCGGGGAGCTGGTGAACCTTCAGAGGCTGAATATCAGGTATGGCCCATCCCCCATAAATCCTGCCGCTCCCATGGCACATCTGTTGTGATAGGAGGCAGCCCGAGGGGCAGATCAGTGGTATGATTCTAACCCCCCCCCCCCGGGTATAGAAATCTCCCATTATTCATCATGATGAAGCTCGGGCTCACCACACCTGTTGCATCCCACAATGTGATACGTGCGCCTCTTAGTATGTGTAGCTGAGGATGTCCCGGTGCCGATGCCAGTGAAAATGCCCCAATTCTTAAGGCCATTACCGGCTCTTTAAATGTTCAGACAGAAGCAGCAGTGCGAGTTCCCGCGCTTCTGGGGACCTCGGTAGCCTGCTGGCGACCTGCAGATAGCTGTCCATGGCAGTGCCTGTCTGGTTCTTTATCTCCTCCTTCCCAGCGCAGGCACAACCATGGACAGCCCCGAGGGCGGAACTACTGCCCCAGGTCTAGAAGCTGGGGGTTTCCTTCCGCACACCGACGGGGAGGACTGGGCCGGCAGTAGGGGAGGCCGGGTTCCGGTATCGCCTGTGAGGTGGAGTGCCTGCAGAGCCACTACAAATGCCCACGTCGCCTGGGTGAGATCGGCACAGAGCCTGGTGAGAGGACATGTGTTCTCAGAACACATGTTCCCAAAGCAAAATGCTATTCTGCTGTGGGGACACGTGTTCTGCTGTGGGGACACGTGTTCTGCTGTGGGGACGTGTATTCAGTTCTGGTGAGAAACTGCCCTAAAATCATCAGTCTGTGTCTTAGAAAAACATGTCACATGGCCCTTTAAGAAAAAGTATCGGTAAATGGTATCGGCAAGTACATGAGGGACAGTACTTGGTCTTAAAAAATGCGGTATTGGGAAATCCCTATGTGTAGCACCATATCTTGTGAACTTCTTTTGTTGTGTCTGCAGCCGGTGTTTGCAGCACAATCTTGCCACAATACCTAGGCCCGTGATATTTCCGCCTATGCTTCCATGTTGGGTCTCCCGGGTGACAACCAGACACGTGTGCTCCTGTGAGGGACTACGAAAGATCAGAGGAGGGACCAGCTGAAGCTTTATTACAGCAGGTGATGCGCTGGGTGCAGGCCACCTGATAGGACTAGAGCAGGCAGGAGGAATCATGGGACATGCAGTGCTGATGCAAGAAGCCACCTGATAGGACTACAGTAGGAAATGCATGTGCATTATGGGCTGGGGAGGAGGAATTATGGGACATATAGTCCAGATGCAGGAGGTCAGCTGATAGTATTACACCGGGCACGCATGTGCCTTATTAGCTGGGTGGGAGGAATCATGGAGCATGCAGCCTCAATGCAGGAGGTCAGCTGATAATATTACACCGGGCACGCATGTGCCTTATTAGCTGGGTGGGAGGAATCATGGAGCATGCAGCCTCAATGCAGGAGGTCAGCTGATAATATTACACCGGGCACGCATGTGCCTTATTAGCTGGGTGGGAGGAATCATGGAGCATGCAGCCTCAATGCAGGAGGTCAGCTGATAATATTACACCGGGCACGCATGTGCCTTATTAGCTGGGTGGGAGGAATCATGGAGCATGCAGCCTCAATGCAGGAGGTCAGCTGATAATATTACACCGGGCACGCATGTGCCTTATTAGCTGGCTGGGAGGAATCATCATCATCAGGATCCAGTTTGGGCCAATCAATCCTGTGAGCGCTTCCTGATCCAGTATTCGGTCAATGAACAAGTTTGGGTAAGTGCCGCACGAATAGGGCTGGCTGTACAAATTTGGGGGGGAATGTAAGATTTTGGGGCAAAATGCTTCTAAATAGCAATGAGGGTTTAATAAGACATTAGGGGCCGTGACACAAATAGCAATTCTGTTGCTCGTGAGAATTCCCCAGTGACCGGATTGCACATCCCTGCCTTCTATGTGTTGCTTCTTTTCTGGCAGTGAGGCATTGCTCCCTTACTGTTGAAAACGCTGCAAAGTCGCTGGTGAGAGAGCACTGCCTCACTTTTCCAGTCGGCGAGGGAGGGACAATCAAGCTCCAAAGTGAACACCGTGTGACACGGCCCTGAAGGTTCTCGGGCTAAACTTTTCAGGCAGTATCCCCCCCCCGCAGTACCTCTTCTTGGCCACAAGATGCCCTCAGTCTTCCAGATTGAATGACAGCTAGGGTTACCCTATCGGAAGGTTGAGGACGCTACAGTGAATGCCGGGTGTCATCACAGCACCGCCTTCCATTACAGTGTAGTTTATGGTGGGGAGAGTAGCGCTCTCTGCATCAGTAAGCATCACCCAGCCACAAGAAGAAGCAAACAGTGGACCCTGTAGTGACCGTCCAGAAGACTTTACAAAAGGTAAGTATAAAAACAAAGACAAGCAAAGAAACACAGCCATGGGGGAAAACTATTGGGGTGGGGGGGTAGGGTTAAAGGGGAGAGTGCAGAGCCCTGAGTTGGCCTTTAAGCTTTGTTTACAAGATTTGAAGTTGGTTTGTTGTGTTTTTTGACGTTGTGACTTCCAGTTTTCTGTATTTGTCTCTGATGATTAGTCACAATAAGCTGAAGAGTCTTCCCGAAGAGCTAGCACAGCTACAGAACATCAAGAATCTTCTTCTCCATCACAACCAATTGGAGGAGGTACCGAACTCCCTGGGACAGCTGATCGCTCTGGAGGAACTGGTAAGCTCCGTATAACGATGGAAAGATCAGTTAACGCTTCACTTCAGGCAAACTGATAAACTATACATACCCTGCATAGGGGTTGTTTTACAAACCTTCACTGGGGGACGCAAAAAAGATATGCTGTTCCAACCCCGTGGACTTTACCGCTCTGCACTGGAGGAGGAGATGTCTTTTTCTGGGTCCCGTCCATCCAGTCCTGAGATTCATAGAGCCTTGTCAGACAGCACAGTTAGGTTGGTGACCTCTGAACTTCTCTGCTACAGTTTAGCAATACAGCCAGATCACCTCCTGCCTGTGACTGGACAGTGAAGGAGATGCAGAATGTGCTCATTACTCTTCCCCTTGCCCTTCTAGTCTGGGTGCTGCTGTACAAGGGGTCGTGCGATGCATTATTACAATGCATAACACTGTTTTGCTTTTTTTAAAACATTTTTATTGAAGTGTCACAAAATGGCACATTATTCAAGTCTCTGCAGCAGCGTTGTGGTATTAACAGACACACGCACACCATGTGTGTTGAGATGTATTGACCATTGATGTATCGGTCTCTATGTTTGCCTGATGAAGGGACCACTAACCGTTACAATACGTTGCTGTCCCCTAGTGCCACCATGTATGTTTAGCGTCTGGATAAAGGCGTTTAGCACGTTGGACTCTGGTGTGTGCGTGACTACTTATACATGTGGATTTACGCGGCGCTATCCGCAGGTCATACCAGCACCCATCTTATTAGATTGGGATTTCAGTCTGGAGTGTGGTGAAACATAGACTATTAGAGATGTATTGATCAGCCCAGGTCAACGCTAGGGCACTTAGAACCCTATGGTTTTATCTGTGCCCCTGTATTAAGCCTGCTCTGATCTCTACGGATCAATACAGCTCAATGCAGATGGTGTGAACGAACCCCTTATATAAAATGTGCTATAGTTTCCCTTTAACAGGACATTATTATTGCAGGACTTCTCCAATAACAACCTAAGGAGTGTCTCCAGCTGCCTTGGTGCCCTGACCAACCTCACCCGGCTCAACCTATCCAACAACAAGCTGAAGGTCCTTCCTCCAGAGATCAGCCGCATGAAGAGTAAGATGGAATCTTTCATTTTTACCTGATATAAATATTTTCCTTTTATTTGCATGAGGCTCATCGGGCACACGGCGCATCCCTGGTTTCTCTTCTCCCCGCTGGGCGCTGCTCTGTGTCCCAGCGGGGAGGAGAGAACTGTCGCAGGAGGTTGAGCAGTGCGGGAGGCGAGCGCTGTGAGCGGCCGCCATCTCTCCCCCCTGCACCGCTAAGCCTCCTGTCACAGATCAGGTGTGTGGGTGGTGACAGCTGTCATTGCTAAGAACCAGAGGTCTTGCTGCACTCCTTACCGGAAGGAACCCGTATGGGTGGGTACTCGTAGTGACCACGGACGGCACCGTGTATACCATAAACAAAGAAATAATGTCACCAGCACACCATAGTAGTAAAGCAATAGTCCATTTAATGGCACATTGTCATGCGATGCAAGCCCTTTCGGGGCCTCGGGGTCCCCTTCTGAGCCTGATGAAGGGGACCCCCTGAGGCCCCGAAAAGCGCTTGCATCGAATGGCAATGTGCTATTGAATGGACTATTGCTTTACTACTATGGTGTGCTGGTGACATTATTTCTTCGTTTTGCTGTCGCAGGAGGCTGAGCTCTCCTCCTGCCTCGCCCAGCCTCCTGTGACAGATCGGGAGAGTACCGGTGTGGGGGGGCGGAGACAGCCGGGGGTGCAGGGGAGAAGTCGCCTGTCAGAGGAGACCGAGCTCTCCTCCCCGCACCGCTCACTCAGCCTCCTATGACAGCCGATCCAGGATGAAGAATGAGTACAAGCAGTCAGTGATCGCTGACTGTTTAAATAATTGAGGACTGAATCCCCAATTAGGAATGAACAGGAAGTGCTCTACATCACTTCCTGTTCATTCATGATTGTGGTTATAGTAAACATACTCTGTCCACAAGTTATGAATGAACAGGAACACTCAGCATAGAAGATTCCTGTTCATTTATAACGGGGGAATGCAAAAAAAAGAGATTGAGGGCTCCGTGTTCTCAATCTCTTTTTCTATTTTAAAAGGGAATTATCAGGGGTCTGTTTAGACCCCGAATATTTCCCCCAAAGCCCCTAAACGTAAAGTAAAAAATAAAAATATTTAATAAAAATTTTATATAATTTAGGAAAAAAAACAAAAACTTTCAGTTTCGGCCTGACTTTTATATTTTTTTTCGGTTTTGAAATTTTAATTTCGGTGCACCTCTACAAATCAATATGGATTTCAGAGCCAGCTCCATTGACAACAACTAGGGAAAACCTCACCAGTTAGGCGGCAGCTGTAATTTTGAAGCAGCATTGACGACCTGGCTCCTGGGATCTGGCAATATAGGTAGATCTGGTGGTCGGGTGTTTGGCCATAAAGTGTAACCTGTCTCTTGCGGACTCCTCTAGGTCTCCGTCAGCTGGACTGCACCTCCAACCTGCTGGAAGACATCCCTCCTTCCCTGGCTGGTATGGACTGCCTGGAGCAGCTGTTCCTGAGGCAGAACAAGCTGACCTTCCTGCCACAGCTGCCCAACTGCAAACTACTCAAAGTAAGGCCCTGAATGGATTCTTTCCTGTATTTGTGTAGATCTGACGTGTTCTGCGGTACATGTAACCCATTCACATCAATCCCTTCATCAGAGGAGCTCAGAGAACTTGTAGTTACCAACACAAACATCATACAGATGCAGTGCGTGATGGGATTTAAACCCAGAACCTCCGCACTGCCTGGCACACATTGTAACAGCCAATTGGCCACACTGCCCAGTACATCGCAGGAGTGGATCAGCGAAAAATGATAGAGGTACCTGAATTGGAATTTCAGATACAGATGTTCTGACACGAAGCAAATTGACAGGAGGAGAGAACGGAGCGAGCAGAGAGATGGCCTTGTCAGTCTGCTGCTGCTCTTTCACTTTCTAGGCAGCAGACAGGATGAGAGGAGATGACACCACTGCATTTCCTAACCTGAACTCCAGCCAACCAGCTAAATACACAGACATAATGCATACGTGGGAACTGTTTAACCTACCAAAGGATTCACATTTATCTGCAGCCTGTCCTGAGATTTACACAGCTCTGCCACATAGCAGAGCCCTGTTTTAGTAACACAGGTCTACTCCCTCCCCCACCCTGCGAATGGACTCTGAAAGGAGAAGCAGCAAACTGATAAGCTCATCTCTCTGAGTTTAGGTGTGCAGAGGATTGCATGAGGATGATATCACTTACACTGATTGCAATACATATATTGTGTGTGTGTATATGTGTGTGTGTACATACACACACACACACACACACACACACACACACACACACACACACACTTACGGAATACAGAGCTTCATTACCCTGTATCTTTTATATCTGCCTGGAGTTTACTGTAACCAAGAAAGTGGTGTCCACCTACTGGCTGTGCTTTGTGGCAGAGCTTTTTAAACCCCAGGACTGGATGGGCAGAAATGTGGATACTTTGGCAGTAAAACAGCTTCCTTGATTGTATGTCATCCGTGTATGTGAATGTGAGCCGATACTTGAACTTTGTTCTCAGGATCTGCATGTTGGGAACAACCAGATAAACACAGTGAGCGCCCAGCACCTGACGCACCTCACTTCCCTCTGTACCCTCGAGCTGCGGGATAACAAGCTGAAGAGCTTACCGGATGAGATAACGCTGCTGACAGGACTGGAGAGGCTCGATCTCGCCAATAATGACCTAGGCAGGTGAGACGTATTCCAGGCACAACGGTGTCTATAATGCAGCATCACTAGACAGCTTCACTCTTCTCAATAGCTGACAAATGCAACACTGAAGGTCATTTCTTTCTTTCCCGCTTTTTTTTTCTATCTTTCTCGTTTCTTCTCTCTCTTGCCGCTCTTTTTCTTTCTTTCTTTCTCGCTCTTTTTCTTTCTTTCTCGCTCTTTTTCTTTCTTTCTCGCTCCTTTTCTTTCTCGCTCCTTTTCTTTCTCGCTCCTTTTCTTTCTCGCTCCTTTTCTTTCTCGCTCCTTTTCTTTCTCGCTCCTTTTCTTTCTCGCTCCTTTTCTTTCTCCCTCCTTTTTTTTCTCGCTCCTTTTCTTTCTTTCCCGCTCCTTTCTTTCTTTCTTTCTTTCTTTCTTTCTTTCTCGCTCCTTCTTTCTTTCTCGCTCCTTCTTTCTTTCTCGCTCCTTCTTTCTTTCTCGCTCCTTCCTTTCTTTCTTTCTTTCTCGCTCCTTTCTTTCTTTTCTTTCTTTCTCGCTTACGCTCTCTCTTTCTCGCTCGCTCTTTCTCTCGCTTGTTTTTTCTTTTTCATCACAAGGTCATTTTCTCACCTAGGCAGGTGAGACGTATTCCAAGCACAACGGTGTCTATAATGCAGCATCACTAGACAGCTTCACTCTTCTCAATAGCTGACAAATGCAACACTGAAGGTCATTTCTTTCTTTCCCGCTCTTTTTCTTTCTTTCTCTCTCCTTCTTTCTTTCCCGCTCTTTTTCTTCCTTTCTTTCTTTCCCGCTCTTTTTTTCTTCATTTCTTTATCGCTCCATTTCTTTCTTTCCCGCTCCTTTTCTTTCTTTCCCGCTCCTTTTCTTTCTTTCCCGCTCTTTTTCCTTCTTTCTTTCTTGCTCCTTCTTTCTTTCTCGCTTTCGTTCTTTCTTTCTCGCTCGCTCTTTCTTTCTCTCTCGCTCGCTCTTTCGCTCGCTTTTTCTTTTTCATCCCAAGGTCATTTTCTCTCCCCCCACTTGCCCTTCCATTTTTACAACCACCTTATCAGGAGTAACTGTCTTGGGCCAGGGTATGCAATCACTCAGCAGCGGTCATCATTCATCTGTGTGCTATACATTCCCTATAGAACCTCTCTCACACCTATACAGAGCACTAGGATTATCAGGTGTCCTTTCTGTTTGCGTATTATACGTTAAAATAGAAACTTATGCCAAAAAGTTTTATGTTTTTGTTTTTTTTTAGTTTTGGACAGAGTAAGGCAGAGTTATAACCCCTGTCAGCTCTATGCCCCATTGGGGAGATTTCCCTTCACTTCCTGTCCGATAGCCACAACAGAATGCGAGGGAAAATCCCTGGTGATCAACAGAAATAGTTTCCCCCATTGGAAGATAACCTATCTCTTGCTGTTGTAATGAAAACCCAAAATTTGGGATTTTATTCCATTTCAGTGATAATGGTCACCGAGACAAATAGAGAGGGTTAATCTCCCTAACGGGGACACAGATAATGATAAAAAAAACCTGACCGATGTTCTAATCCCTCTCTCACTTACCCAAGACTAGCAAAAGTTTTGTCCTCAGTTGCACTTAAATAACTTTTTGTTTTTCCATTTTCAGTTTGCCGAACACCCTGGGAAATCTTCCGAAATTGAAATCCTTACAGCTGGAGGGTAATCCGCTGAGAGGGATTCGTAGGGATGTACTGAATGTGAGTAATTGGCGCGATGCACTCGCTGAGGTCCTACTGCTTAAAGTCCACGTTTTTATACCTCACGTCATATAGCATGGGTGCATACATCATCCCAAAAACCCAAACCGCCCCCCCCCCCCTTTACCTGAAACATGGGATGATGCATCATCAGGGGGAATCCTTTTAAAACAAAATTTAGTGCAGATGGAGCCCACACAGCCACATCATCCAGGTTTGTTATTGTTTACATGATATTACTAGAAGTCGCATCTTCCACCGCGGCAGATGGGACCTGTGCAGAGTGCAACACCAATCCATCTTCCCTTACCACACTATAGTTCAGCCTTCCTTCCTCCAGCCAGGCCCATACCTCCGTTTGGTCCTGAGCTTGGGAAGCTTTGCTCTGATCTCGGATGCAATGCTCTGCAGACTTCATTGCAAAAGAATAGTAACATTCACATGGGATCAGCGTTGCTGAATTTACTAAGGTGGACTTAGCCTTCAAAGTGAACCTGTGCTTTACAGTCCACCACTTGGAGAAATTGGAATCGACTAAGGTGCGTTTGGTGCATGTCCCTCGAAAAATGACAGGTTCACTTGAATCCGAGAACTTCACGGCTGGAAGACAATACGGAAATGTCTTAGAAGTATAAAGGACAACACAGGGAAACAATTTTATTAACCCCTTCAGTAGGACTACCCCTCATACTGCAAGGGTTAAATGCTCATTTTTGTCTAAAAACTTAGTTATACTCTCCTAAACCTCGGAGCTGGCTGGCTGTTACATCGCTCCCTTCAGCCTCTTGCCTCATATGCTGCAGCCATGATATGTCCCTCGGGGACCTCACATCCAATACAAAGTGTATTGGACGTGATGACTCGAGGATCCTTAGACCACTGCAGGGTGAGTGAGGTGGAAGAACTGGTCTAAGAGCAAGCCAGCTTTGACGATCGGGGGAGTGTAACTATTTTATTTTATTTTAGTCCGTAGACACAAATGAGCAGTTAACCCTTGCAGTGCTGGGGTAGTCCCTCTTCAAGGGTTAATAAAAAACATTTGCCCGGTGTTCTGCTTTAACTATCTATATTTTTTGTCCCTTTAGAAAGGCACTCAGGAACTTCTAAAGTATTTAAGAAGCAGAATACAAGTTCCAGGTAATCTATTTTTCCTCTTTGTTTAATATTTTATATCTGGGCTCTGAGGTTACTCTTGGAAATTTTTCATAAATGCGCAGACTTCCCCAAAAAACAATCCTGATTGCTTTTCAAGGTGATCTTACTCCTCTGTTTTGGCCTGTGTCTAAGACTTTTTGTCCTAGGGTGACAACGCTGATTAGGTCTGTGCCTCTGCAGGAGCAGTGTTGTCTCCTTAGGTCAGGGGTGGGTAACTTCGGCCCTCTAGCTGTTGTAGAACTACAAATCCCATGAGGCATTGCAGGACTGACAGTTACAGGCACGACTCCCAGAGGCATGTTGGTATTTGTAGTAAAAGCACAGCTGGAGGGCCGGAGTTGCCCACTCCTGCCCTTGGACGTGTAGAACATGGTTGTGTTTTCAGCATATTGCCCAGGCTCTGGCTACTGCACCGCTGCAAAGATGCAGCACAGAACTGGAGAACTTCTAAGGCCATTAACGTTACTTAAAAAAGACATTGATGCACATTCTTGTAGTTGTGTCGGTGAGATGAGAGTTATGTGCAATGCAAAGACACTAAGTGCCTAAAAAATTGTTAAATCGGTCCTTCTACTTCAGGGGCAAGGTCTGCTTCTTCAAGTTGCCCCCCTCCCCTTGCTAAAACACTGCATAAAAGTTCCTGTGGTGTTGGTGGTGGTTACATAACATACGTGCCTTTCCCTGACTTCTTCTGCAGTGCCTAGGAGAGGGTGACGTCATCCTGCTTCCGGCCACATCTTGGAAGGGGTTGGTGGAGTGGATAACATACATGCCTTTCCCTGACTTCTTCTGCAGTGCCTAGGAGAGGGTGACGTCATCCTGCTTCCGGCCACATCTTGGAAGGGGTTGGGGGTGCGGTAGATAACATACATGCCTTTCCCTGACTTCTTCTGCAGTGCCTAGGAGAGGGTGACGTCATCCTGCTTCCGGCCACATCTTGGAAGGGGTTGGTGGAGTGGATAACATACATGCCTTTCCCTGACTTCTTCTGCAGTGCCTAGGAGAGGGTGACGTCATCCTGCTTCCGGCCACATCTTGGAAGGGGTTGGGGGTGCGGTAGATAACATACATGCCTTTCCCTGACTTCTTCTGCAGTGCCTAGGAGAGGGTGACTTCATCCTGCTTCTGGCCACATCTTGGAAGAGGTTGGGGGAGTGGATAACATATGTGCTTTTCCCCGACTTCTTCTGCAGTGCCTAGGAGAGGGTGACGTCATCCTGCTTCCGGCCACATCTTGGAAGGGATTGGTGGGGCGGTAGATAACATATACTTGCCTTTCTCTGACTTCTACAGCGGCGCCAAGGCGAGGGTGACGTCATCCTGCTTCCGGCCACATCTTAGAGAATGTTGAATAGCCCAAACCTTGGGACCATTGGGCTGCACTGCCTTCTTGCTAGAATTGGGCTGCTCAACATTCTCCGAGATCTGTCCGAAAGCAGGATGAGGTCACCCTTGCCTAGACTGCGCTTGCTGTCCCGAAAATGCTGCAACTTTGGTCCATTGTGTTGCCTTAGGCAATCCATGCACATGAATGGGCTGCTCTAAAGCAACACACATTCTGTGGCACAGGAGCAAATCTTTATTCGTAATCAGTGGTTCGCCATCCACGAATAGCGACTGGTAAACACATCGGGGAGGGCCGAAGTAACACTCCCACTTAGACCTGGATTTCCCATAACGTCTTCCAGGACAGCATCACGAGATGGAATCTCCTCCCCCACACACAGGAAACACGTCACTTAATCTGTTTAAAAGACCCTCCTCTCCTCCACTTTCGGTTCTCGTGATGATTGAGGGAGTGGAGGAGAGGAGGGTCTTTTAAACAGATTAAGTGACGTGTTTCCTGTGTGTGGGGGAGGAGATTCCATCTCGTGATGCTGTCCTGGAAGACTAATGGAAATAGAGTTACCGGTAAGTCCTAACTCTGAATTTCCAATTGAAGAATGGAAAATGTACATTGGGTAAGCAATGGGGGAATGCAACTGGCAAAGGCGTGGTGACTAAATACAGCAAAAAATCCCAACTAGCAATTTGTCACATGATCAATCCATTCTGTGTCTCTTTTTTCAGCTTTGCTTGTCTGGATTTTGTGTTGTGTCACATGCACACGCAATTTTAAATCTATGTGAGTTTATAAATTACGCTTTTTACATTTAGTCGGAATTGTGGAGATGGTTTTGTGCGTGTAGATGCCAGTGGTGATGTCGATTTTATTTTTTACTGAAAATATATTAAATGTATAAAAACATTTCAGATTCAAAGAATGAAGAAAACACAAGTCCTGTGGTCACGGCTATGACGCTCCCGAGCGACTCCCTGGTTAATGCACATGCATTGTCTACACTGAAGACCTTGGAGTATAGGTAGAGCTTATTCCTCGTCATTTACATTGCTACAAACATTCTTTGGATGTATATTGTATCGGCATATACTACGGAGCCCCATATTGTGACCTCAGCATCATTCATATCAGTCCCTTTTATAGCCTAAAGTCCTTACAGTAGACTTGCATGAGAAAGACCAAAACATCCCTGTCCTTCTACCTCCAATCTGCTCTGTCCCTCTCTACCTTTTTGTATTCACATTTTATAAAAGCTTAACTCCGGGCAGGTATTTATTTTATTATCACCGGTATTTATATAGTGCCAACAATTTACACAGCGCTTTGCCAACTGTACAGAGAAGCTGACTTTATGTTTTATTGACCCTCCCGTTGTCTCTTCCTCAATACCAGAAAACGATAGGTCCCCCTGCACTTCTCACAGCGCTCCCGGGCCAAGTGGAAACAGTGGTGCTCGCAGTGACAATGCCGGATGGCGCAGTGCACAGCAGTCAATGAATGATAGAAATCACCAGCACTCCGTAAATGAAATACAAAAAATATCCATTTATTTGGATTAAACGTCACACATATCAAATAATCCAACGTTTCGGGACCACCCAGGGTCCCTTCATCAGGGCAGAAATCTTCCTCAATACTACTTCATGTATCTGTCCCTTCATCAGGGATGTCAAAGCTGATATGCTTTTGCATGCCCCCATTTTATCCTTCCTTGACTATTGTAAGACCCTCCAATGTGCTGTGAGCAGAGCAGACCTTTTCCTTCATTGCACATGTTCGTGTTTTTCTTGTTCACTTTGAGCGATTCAGTTGTCAGATTTTCATTTGTACTCCGGGTTTTTCTAGTAACAAGCAGGCCACCACCATTCCAGATGCCATTTTCGATGCTATTGGCTCCTGCCCCGTCTCAACACTAAATTTCAGCAAAAATCAACTGGCCGAGGTTCCCCCAAGGTAAGCTCTTCTTTATTTATATATACGTAAGAATAGCAATGCTTCATTTGCTCTGAAGAAGCAAGATCCACTTGTTTGTGTGTTAAAGGGAATGTGTGGCATTTTTTTGAAATTTTAATAAAGCTGAACTCCAACCTTCTTTTTAGTCTTGCACAGTTGTACCGGCTTCTTTCCTGGACTGAAATTGCTTCCTCTGATGTCACTGCACACTGCGAGCTCCTCATAATGTGCATTAGAAAACGCAGCAAGTCAGATAGAGCTGAAGCAAGTCAGATAGAGCCCACCTCATTTCCTGGCTGGGGGATGCACTTTCCTCTCCAGCCTGACCCTTTTCATTCATTGGATTTCAAGTCTTCCGATCATAGATGCTCAGCATCACATGTAGGAGTTACCTAGGGTGATCTGCAGGCAAATGCAACCTGCCTAGGAACGCCTACTCCTTCAGACTGACATCCACCCATCAAGGCATTTTGATATTTGAATAGCTCCTCCAAGGAGCCAGCCCACTGCTTTCATCAGGGCTGAAGGGCTCCTGGAGTGCTAAAGCAGGGTGCTGTGATGTTTTCAGGAAGCACCCTGCTGGCCCCTCCCACCAGCTATGATCTGCCTGCTTTGCATAGAGACCCATTGATGACATCATTGGTTCTAAAATTGGGTATGTAATGAAAATGGAAAGGTTTATTTAAAAATTCTAGGCTGACTTTATTTGCATTCAGACCATCCTAGGTAACACCTAGATGTGATGCTGAACCTCCATGACTGAATTAAAACGCTGGTACCCTCAGTACTTCCCTTAAGAACTGTCAGCCCTGATGCAAGCAGTGCACTGACTCTTGGTAGCGGTAATGCAAATATCAGAATGCCTCGATGGATGGGTGTCACTCTGGAGGCGTGGGCGTTCCGAGACAGGCTGCATTTTCATGCAGACCGTCCTAGGTAACACCTACATGTGGCGAGGGAGCATGGGGCCGGCTTTCCTGCCAATTATGGGGGCGGGTAATGATTCGCCGCCCAGCTTCCTGACAAATCAGGAAGCCGGGCAGTGAGTCATTACACGCCGCCGGGAAGCCCGCGATGGAGCCGGCTTATCAGTATTGGTTTCTGGTGCATCCCTACCTACATGTGTCTAATGCACATTGCGAGAAGCTCACAGTGTGCAGTGAAATCAGAGTAAACCATTTCAGTCCAGGAGAGAAGCCGGTACAACTGTACAAGACTGAAGGGAAGGTCGGAGTTGACCTTTTTTAAGAGAGAAACTGGACATGTCCATGTGTTTTTTTTATGTGTCCTGTCAAACACTCCTAGGGGTGAAGGGCCCTTTGCTCCAGCTTTGGGAACCTTTGCACCCCCCTTCCTGTATTCAGAATGGATGAGTCAGTTGTTTGTAAATTGTAGACTTATAGCAGATGATGATCTGAGATCTTTACAAGCACCGAGGGAAGCCGGTGTAATTTCCCGGCACTTTCACGCCGAGCGTCTGCCTGTTGAAGAGCCCTCAAGGGGAATTTTAAATTATTTCTACTTACCGTAATTCACTGTAAGTGCTTTCCACGAGGCATCTCCTGCGCACGTGTGAGTTCACTCTGTTTCGTCAATTGAAATAGCGGTGTCCCGTCTCCAGTGAGATGAAGGCGCTGAACGCTCCGGCCATACTGAGATTCAAAGGCAGACATGAGTTACTGTAATATTTCTTAAAGAAGCCCTGTCACCACCTGGTCCTGCACTTGCACGTCAAAGTGAGAAGGTCCCAGGTGGGGCTACTGTGTATATGTCCAGAACAATAAAGTTTTAACAAAGCGCTGACATCAATGGGCCACCGGTCTTTTTCAACTGAGATCACAGAGAGCGTGGACAGGCTGGTGTGAATGGTGGCTTAGAGAAATGCTGCCTGCTACAGTCATGTGAGCTATGTGTTCAGTAAATGTACTTTTTGTGACCATTCTACAGCAACATCCACACTTCCTGAAGTGTCGGCTAGAGAGCCTCCTGGACCACCTGCAGGGCAAAGCGACAGGTTCTCTTTAATACCCCTTACCCCACTTTGGCTTTGCTTCCCTCCATCACCTAATAGTTCCTGGTAGGGATGCACCGATACTGTTTTGTTTTTTTTTGGTATCGAAATACGAGTACCGATATTTTGCTTTCAGGTACTCTCCAGTACCGATACCGGTGCTTCCAGTGGCATGGAGCTGGCTTCCCGGGCAATCGGGAGTCCAGGAGGTGGGTAATGACATGCCACCCGGCTTCCTGATTGCCCGGGATGCCTACTCCATGTTGGTTGGCTGGCTCGATTGTGATTGTCCATTGCTGATTGGCCAGAAAGCCGGCTTTCCAGCCAATCAGCAAGGAGCCAGCTTTTTGGCCAATCAGGAAGCTGGAAGGTGGGTCATTACTGGTCCTGATTGCCCGGGAAGCCAGCTACATGTTCCCCTTCCGCACTGCCAGTCAGAGGAAATCTTCCTCTGTCCAGAAGTTTCAGTATTGGAGAAGGTATCAGAGCATTTGGGCGAGTACTCGGCCAAATACGCGGTATGGGCACAGATACCGATACTAGTATTGGTATCGGTGCATTCCTAGTTCCAGGTATGGAAGATCATGTAACTAATTTCAGTGCTGATTCTAAATTGATGATTGGCCAAACACTGTCACATGGGAATGAAGATATCTCAGAATTATGTAAAATCTGAATCGGATCCGGATCGACTCCGAGCTCACACGGGGCTGTCCGTCTTCGATTTCTGCACTCCGTTGCTGCTTTCAGAATGAATTTGACCTGTTGGCTCACTCACTCCAAAGGACAGACCCCCTTCCAAGGTTCACTAACGACCCCTGGTGGCACTTTGGGGAGCACCGGGAGATGCAAGTATTGCATTGGCTCGTACAGCTCAGGCACCTTTACATGCCTGTATGTTTTTTGGCTTGGGGGAAGAAACCATTTTTAAACAGGAAGAAAGAACATACGCCAGGAACATAGTAGCTCTGCTGGACATTGAACTTGGGTCCCTAGGGCAGCAAGACCAGGGTACTAACCACTGAGCCACAGTGTTGCCCAGTTGTGCCAAGTTACCGCTACAGTTGGATAGTATGTCAACAGAGGTTACACAAAGGTAATTGGTGCCATTTATCAGTGACCGTGTGTGTAGCTGTGCCCTCACTTATGTAAGGTCTAACACCAAGAACAAGACCACCACCTCTTAATGGGCACTAAGTGGGCAGACCAGGGGCTCCTTCATAGTTCCTTAGAGATAAAGGAAGCTTTCGGCTGTTTCAGCTTGCAGGCAGCCACTTCTTTATTTTCTTTTAGGTGGACTCTTGTGGCTAAATTCTACTATTTTACACAGTACTGCTGGAAAGATTTTTATTCTTTTTATTGCATTGAATTTTTCTCGCAGGATCGTAGAATTGAAAGAATCTGTGTGCGACGCCAACCTGGGCTTCAATAAAATCCCAGCAATCACCCTGAACCTGTGCATGCTACTGAAATTAAAACATCTGGATATGAGGTCAGTTACTTCTCTATTAATGAACAAGGTCTCAAATTCTCTGTAAATAGGTAACCTGCCAAAACGATAGCACAGAGTAACAGAGTTCTGTAAAGCTGCCCCTACACGGCTTTTATTTCGAGCTTTATATACTGCTTGTTTGTAATTCAAGCAGTGTGTGGGCCAGTGGGGACCCGTCCATTGGACCAAAGTCAATTTTTCAATTAAAAGAGAACTATGGGGTAAGCGTTTTTCCCTATAGTTCTCTTAAGGGTCACGGGAGGACATATACTAACCTCCTCCCGTGACCCAAAGCTCTGTATATATCAAGCTTCAGCTCGCGGTATACTGAGACTGCCGCAGCCGGGATGGATCCTGACAATGCTGTCGAAATCTACCCTGCTTTGTGAATGACAGCTGGCTCTGCCTATCTAGCGGCAGAGCCAGCTGTGCCCGCCCCCTCCCCCGTCCGTTTCTCCAGTCAGCGCTAGAGGATCAGAGAGGGCCGCGGGGAGCGGTGACTGTCAGTCACCGCTCTCTGCTGGAAAATGATTGAGAAGTGAGCGAGCGACGGTATGCGTTCGCTCACTTCCCGATCTATTGAGCCGACGTGTGACAGTTTCATTGTCGCACGTCGGCTCGAACTATGAGGATGAGTGAAAATCACTCATCTTATGGTTCTCCTTTAACTTTTATTAAAGGAGCCGGTCCGAAAATGTATGGCCAAACAGTCAGTTGGCTGCAGTCACTGTTTGGGGAGTGCTGACAATAACACACCCTTTGCTGTCAGAATACAATAGACTGTTGGGTGGGATTTCCCCTTTCATGCTGTTTTGCCTGATATCTCCCAGTGAGATTTTATAGCCAATAGCTAATTGAGTCGGCATTGGTATATGACCTCTGACAGTGTTTGTAGTCCAAATCAGGAAAGCAGCTCAGGGTGACAACACTGGTCCTCCATAGATACAGCGCAGAGAGTGAGGAAGTTGACAGGAAGAGTCACAGGCAGGACAGCCGGGTACAAATAAAGTGAAAAGGAAAAGAAAACAAATGCAGCCCTTTCATCTAAAGACTGGTAAGCAGTAATATTCACGGCCTGGCCAAAAAACAAAATCACCACCTGTATTTAGCTAAGCAAATGGGTAAGAGCCTTCCATTGGATGATTATTGAAGTGATTAATAGGTTTCATTTGGCAGCAAATGAGGTCAGCTGCTTGAGTTTAGATATCCTTTAGCAAATCATCTGCCCATACCTGTGTTCTTCTTAACAGAACCTGTAGACGTTGTTTTGTCATCACAATGTGTAACCTCTCAGTATCTTTGATTTGGGAGACATTCACTAAATGTACTTCTCTTAATGCAGGAATAACTTTTTGTCTTCACTCCCTGATGAGCTGGAAGCTTTGACACGACTACAATCTATCATCCTTTCTTTTAACAGGTCAGTGATATGTATTACCAGCAGGATGAATTGTCAATGTATGGCACCTGAGGATTTAATTATTGGTATAAAGCAATAAGTCTTTATAATAGTAGAAAATAATGAATCTTCAAGCAGTCTGTAAAAGAAGTTTAATAATCCTCACCCGCCTGCTGGGTGGTGACTCTGGCCTTCACTCTCTTGCAGAGCTATGAACAGGGCCGGGCGGAGGGGTAGGCAGAAGAGGCGGCTGCCTTGGAGGCTTCTGCTGGAGGGAGGTCCTGCAAAAAGAGCAGGACCTGCAACCTGTACTGCTGATCTAGTTCACAGACCATGAAGAGGGGACACTTTCGCTTGGGTACTCAAGGAATGTGCCCCAGCACCGACTACAGATGCCCCTGGCTGTGGCAGATGCTGTGTTCTGCACTGCGCTCTGTGGTTCCACCCACCGGTCACTAGGCCACTATTGTCTCCTGTAGTGACACAGAAGCCGGTGGGTGAAAAGAGAGTCCCTGCAATGTGAATGATACTGTCAGTGTGTTTGCATGCTTTTATATACAACATGTACATTTTAGTTGGGCTGCAACTAACGATTATTTTCAAAATCGATTAGTTGCCCGAATATTTTTTCAATTAATCGATTGGTTGTACTTAAAAAAAAACTCTCGCTCCCCCTCTCTTTCTCTCCCGCTCCCCCTCTCTCTCTCCTACCCCCTCTTTCTCTCCCGTTCTCCCCCCCAACTAATTGATAATGAAAATAGTTGGCAACGATTTTCATTATCGATTTATAATCGATTACTTGTTGCAGCCCTACATTTTAGAAATTATATATGCTCATCATCTCTGCAGACATTTCGGGGTCTATTTATGAACAAGTCGCAGAGCCATTTGCCCTGCAAATCTCTGCGAGCATTCGCTCGGTGCAAATTATTTTTAATGTAAGTTGGATGTAATAATTGGAAAATATTGCATAATGGCCTCTAGATGGAGCTAAGGAGCATAGGATACTGGTATGCCGGTATGCCGTGCTCCTCGGCTCATCAAGTGAACATAATGCAGTATTTTCGAATCTACCAGTCCCAGCACCTCCAAAGTGAGCCGGTTGAGACTTGTAGTTGTATGGCAGATTGAGAGTAGCAGTCTATGAAGCCTTGCCTGAACGTTGTATTCTTGTGTGTCATGGCCTCTCTTACTCCTCTGTTCTCAGGTTTAAAACTTTCCCAGAGGTTCTGTACCGGATTCCTACGATAGAGACGATTCTCATTAGCACCAATCAGATTGGATCCATAGATCCCGAGAAGCTGATTAAACTGACCAAGCTGTCCACCCTGGACCTCCAGAACAATGACCTCCTGCAGATCCCGCCAGCCCTGGGGAACTGTGAGAACTTAAGGTGAGGGGCCACTGAGTCACATTTGCTGGTAGCCTGATTAAAGCTAAGCCTGGGGCACCTGAAAGATTTCCATGTCTGTGATCTCAGCCCGCCAACCTTCACGGTGAAATGATTCCGGAGAGGTAAGTACTAAAGCTGAAGTTTAATCTGCTTATATTTCGCCTTCCTTTAGTCCCCCCCCCCCCTCATCAACATGCTAATGACAATGATAAATAAAACGTTTCCATTTACATACTTTATTGTAGACCAGGTGATATCATCACTGGGTCTCTGGGCTTCTGTATGTAATGCAGGCAGATCAAGGCTGGTGGGAGGGGCCGGCAGGGGTGCTGTGATGTTTTCAGGAAGCTATGTACAGCCCCCTGCCAGCCCCTCCCACCAGTGCCTCGGTACTCTTCTAAAGAGCCCTTAGCCCTTCTACAAGCAGTGGGCTGGCTCTTGGGAGGAGTTATGCAAATGTCATGGGTGGATGTCACTCTGGAGGAATGGGTGTTCCCAGGCAGGCAGTATGTGCATAGTTAATGCCCACATGTGATGCTGAGCCTTAATGACTGAAGAAGTGAAATCCAATGGATGAAAGGGGCGGGCCAGGGACAATCAGGCTCCTCCAGCCAGGAAATGAGGCGGCCTCTATCTGACTTGCTGCAGCTTCTAATGCACATTGTGAGAACCTTAAGTGATCAGATGTTATATCTGCAGTGTGAAGTCATGTGACGTTTCTTATCCTTGGTGTTTATTGCTTGTCCACAGAGCTCTCCATCTGGAAGGAAACCCGTTCAGAACGCCGCGGGCGGCCATATTGGCCAAGGGAACAGCCGCTATTCTGGAGTATCTCCGGAGCCGCATTGCCACTTGATAGTGAAGAGGAACGGTCGCGGCTACTTCATGGCGGTGTCCGGATCTCACACGGTGCTGGAATACAGAATTTTTTTTTTTCATTGCCATAATTTGTTATCATTACTGACACGGCGCCGAGCTCGCAATTTATATCTGACGCATGGCGAGATACAATCTTTACCAAATGCCGGGGAACCTTATTGTACCTGCAATGTTTCCTATAACGGCAAACACTAAAGTTTTTCAGGAGTTCACTTTAGGTTACAATGTTTACATCTTGTGACAACCTGAAACCAAATAAAGAGAACCTGTCCCTACACTGGCTTCCTGCCCCACTGATAGCTCAGCGTAATGCCGAGTGGGCTTGAGTGGATGTGCTGGCCAGGGATGCAACAGTCTTGGCACGTCTTTCCCCATGGTGGCCCTTGCATTCGGTCATTTTACCAAGCACTGGGGACACACCTAGAAATGTCACTGCTGGACTCCTGTAGCATCCCTCTGCCATCTAAAACATCAGCGATAAGCCCATTCTGCTTACAGAGGGGCACACAGAGGGGTTGTGCTCACCAAGGGAACTGGAGTCCAGTATAACACTTGCCTTGGTGCCCATACCACTACATAGTGGGTACTGGTTGGTGTTTAATGAGACCACATTTTTCTAAGCCTGCTTACTGTGCTTTGTGGCTTTTAGAGTGCTATGTGTATCCTTTCTCAGGTAGGGAATTTGATTGCCCGTAGGTCTACCCTCTTGACAACCAGGGCCTGGCAAACTATCGGCAGCGTAAAATAGCGCAGGTTGCATCATTTATACAAGGGCGACAAATAAAAAATGCGTGCAAAGCATGTTCCTGTGGAATGTAACATGCGTCAGAAATGGGAACATGCCTGAAACCTGAAAAAGATTGCATGTATTGTGTATACTAGGGATGCACCGATACTGGTGCCGATGCCGAGTATTCGGGCAAATACGAGTGCTCGCCCGAATGCTCCGATGCCTAGCCCGATACTTCCAGTATCAGGAAGCCGGGCAGCGATTGAAGACGAGGGAGTATGGAGCCGGCTGCCCGGCCATCAGGAAGCCATGCGACGAGTCATTACACAGCGCCCGTCTTCCTGATTGGCCAGAAAGCCGGCTCCATGCTTTCCCGTCACCTAGTGACTAGAAGCAAGGGGACGGCTTCCATGCTAACTAGGAAGCCGGGTGGTGAGTCTTTACACGCCACCTGGCTTCCTTAACCACCTCCGGGCCGGCCGTAGTAAAAAAACGGCCGGCCCGAGCTCTCTAGATCTGAGCGGCGTGGGGTCTAAACACCTGGTCTTGAAGTGGTTAATGGGACATTCGGTATCGGCAATTCCCCGCCCTCCCACAAAATAAATCGGTGCTCGATACCGAAATACTGATATCGGTGCATCCCTAGTATATACACATAGCATAGGCGCATTGATGCCCCAAGCAGTAGGTGGTGCAGGATTCTGTATGCACTGTGGTCACTGCGACAGAATAGATCATTTGGCGACTGTTTTCGCATTCAATTTTCCACTCGCAGTACCTCGCTCTTCGCCACTAATAGTTTATCGGGCTGACAGTATTTTCTATGCACGATCCTCTCGGGTATTTAACTGCACTGGGCTTAAAGTCTTTAAAGTGACATTAAACCCTCAGATTTTTTAACATAAACCACTAGCTGCCAAGGGAGGGAGGGATAAGGTAAGTAAAAGTCCTTTTTCCTGGTACCTTAGGCAAAAATGAGCATGTGACCCCTTGCGGTGCAGGGGAAGCCCCACTGCAAGGAACAGTTCCCCGGAGTTCAGCTTTAAATAACGAGGCCTGCTCACCTGCCGTGTCCATTACAAAGTGATCCCTTCCTTCTCATTATATTATCTATTATGCAGTAGGAGGAGTGAGACTTTTTGTAGCAGGTGTGAACTCCAAGGTGGGCAGAAATAGAGCCTGGGTTTGTAGCAGGGAGATCTCACCACGGTAGTCACTAGGACTTAGAAGCGAGGAGATAATTTGGAGAATCGGGGTAGGCAAACGTCAGCCCTCCAGCTGTGGTAAAACTACAAATCCTGCACCTACCTCTGGGAGTCATACCTGTGGCTCTCAGTCTTGCAATGCCTCATGGGACTTGTAGTTCCACAACAGCTGGAGGGCCACATTTTGGTTACCCCCTGCTCTAGGCTCTCTAATTGGAATATAATTTTAGGGTGGACAGACCCTTTCGGGAGGGATGACGTGCTCCAGGATATTCAGCGTATAAAAATGAATTCAGTGAAGTGTCTCTTCTGTATCGGTGTTCCCCTTTGATGGGCCCGGGGTTAGGATTTATTTTGCAGGCCGTGACCTAAACCAGCTCCAGTAAGAATAAAAATTTCCAGGAAATGTAATGGAAACCTTCCACTTTGGTTACAGAAATGTTACAATCTACACAATAAATACTACACAACTTGTTCTACACAATAAGTTCCTCACAAGGCATTTTGTCATTTCATTAAAAGTGACTTTTTCCTGTCCGTCTGCAGCCTCTGTGTCTTTCTAATCTGCAAAAAACAAAACAAATCCACTTCCTTGCAACTAATGCAACAGTACTCTTTATGCAGAGCGCCCCATCAAATCGCATTCCCTGCCCATGCGCTTGGCACCCTATGTTTGCGCTGTGCTGAATGGACAATTTCAGGCATCCAGTGTCGTGTTTTCTGGTTTGCTGCAGCAAGCCACGGATCTATGTGGATAGACAGGGGTGTTGGGGATGCAGTTTTTCTCTTTGCAACACTGGGGCTGGTCATGTGATATCGCAGGCAGCCACTCCCACTTAGCTGTACTGATTCAAAACTTACTGCAGAGCACAAGCAGGTAAGAATATGCAAATGTATAAAATCCCTGCAGGCTACATACTATGACCTATAGTCAGCCCACCTTCCCAGCAGCACATACTCCCCTTTATTCGCCTCCCCTGATGATCTGTTCAGAGCTGGAGATGCCACAATCTGCAAGTTCCCCAAGTCATAGCTGATGGAGAGTTATAGACATTCCCCATGTGACATTGCTGGCGCTTGGCCCGGCTCTGTCTCATGCATTGATGCAGTACAAGGAGCCGATCAGTTTATGTGCTGACCAGAAGCTTGTTGATCAGTAGAGAAAGCAGAGTCATGGAGGGATGAGTGATCACTGTGCTGCTTCTCTTTTCACTGTCCAGTCACAGGCTAGGGGTGTGTCTAGGACAAATTCTGGCCCTCCCGCTGAGGTATAACCACAAATCCCATCATGCCTCTGCGATGAGACTTGCAATGCCTAAGGGCCCAGTCACACCAGTTGCAGTGCATTCTGGCCCGATTCTGGCCAGAACGCACTGCCTCGCATTGCGGCCGGCTCACTTTTTGGAGGAGGTGTGGCGGGCCATTGAAGTGAATGGCACCGTAGCCACGCCCTCCGGCCGCAATGCGATCACCCGCACGGGATCGCAAGGCACATTGTGCCTGCAGTCCGGTGCGATCAAAAGAGTGCTCGCAGCATTTTGATCGGACCGCATGCACAATGTGCCTTGTGATCCCGTGTGGGCCATCGCATTGCGGCTGGAGGGTGTGGCTACGGTGCCATTCACTTTAATGGCCCGCCACACCCCCTCCTGCCCGACAAAAAAGTGAGCCGGATGCAGTGCGTTCTGGCCAGAATCGGACCGGAACGCACTGCATATGGTGTGAACGTACCCAAAGGGCAAATGGTGTGAACCTGCACATTCCAGACCAGACAAAATGACACATGCCGTATTTTTCTGGAATGGACTGCACTGGTGTGAAGAGAGGCCAGAAATAGCATAGGGATACATTAGGATGCATTTTGGGTCCGGAAACAATCTGGTCTGATCTGGATGTGGCGTGAACCTGCCCTAACGGCAGTTGTAGTTGCACCACAGCTGGCGGTCCGTGGTCTAGGACCATCTGGGCTCAAAGGAAGTGGGATGAGTGATCCTGACCATCAGACCGAGTACATCGAACAGCAGAAAAGTACAGTGTGGGGGGGAATCCCTGTATTGTTTATCTTATTTTAGGCTGGAGCTCTGCTTTAAGTTTTTTGTAACTTTTAAAACTCCACAAGCAAAATGGATGCAAACGAAGGAGAGAAAAATAACGCAGCACACTGACCATTTTGCACCATTTACAAATACACCCCCATAGCTTGTGGTGGGAATGCATTCTGTGACCAGTAGATGGCACTGTTGCATTGTTACAGCTGTTTGGGAGATTGGAAACGGCTTCATATTTGTGATCGATCACTCCCATTGGTGTGTAGTATGGATTTATTTTTTTTCCCTTGTTTTTGGTTTGTTTAACATATGTATAGCAAATTTCTCATATCTGGTTTGCTGACACTAGGGAAACAGACTTATGGGACAGCTTTACTTTTAGGGAAGTCATCCTTTGAATATATCACAATGTTCTATTCATGTGCTTTCCTGCCAATGCAGTCCCTCCGAGATGATGTGCAAATGCCAAGTTTCTGAACTTTAGGATCTGCATATGGTTAGGTACGCCCTCCCTCATGTGTCCATACTCAGACATAATGATAAGTCGGTCAGGTGCCAAACATTGCATTGTGGGGGTGTAGGAAGAGGTGCATATGTCTCCCATGAACCCAAAAGTTTTTTTTTAGGTGGGGCGTTACTGAGCATAGTGGATTAGAGAGGTGGCCATGGAAGATTTCTCCTATACAATTGAGTGTTTATTTTACACCTGTGTAATGAGGACAAAGAAAATGATAGTAACCTGGAAAGATACTTGCTGGCACTGCTGAAATAGCCAATTAATGGGGGTCTCTTACTTGGACATGGGGGCAGGAGGGCAATTGAAGTTAGAGAAATCCTTACTAAAACCTGCTCATCTCATTTCATACTCTCATCATTATGGGGACAACCATAGACTAAGACTTACAGGGCTATTCACTAAAGAAGGGAAGAGTCTGGAGAAGGCAAGAGAAGTGAACAATCTAGGGCAACAGCTGAATTGGAAATCGTCTTGGCTGGAGTTTG